TAATGTATTGTCAGGATTAATTACAATATAGCTACTGTGCATTTACAGTAAACTTCTGGCGTGTATAGCTGCCAGTATTTGACTGTAAATTTACAGGATTATTTCTTAGAGTGTAGTTTTGGATCTATTTAATTTATAAAAGTTACTCTTACTATTTAGCTTAAATGAGTACAAATAACTAACTTATTTTTATTAAAAAGCACCATTGGGCTTCACAGTGTAGAAACAGCACCCAGCTTGATGCACTGATCTCTGATTTAACCATTAAGCATGTACGGATGACTTCATAGGAACAATATGTTTTAATACTGTTGATCACTATTCAGCTCTTTATGATCGGCTGAAAGCATTTATCAATCTTTTACATTTTTCCAGACTCCAGGTTTGAAAATGGAATAAAGTCTATTCCGTCCTCTAATTGCTTTGAGTAAAGCGAGCCTTGTGCATATTCCCCACTTACAACTTTTAACAATATTTCCGATTATTTTTCACCAAATCTCTATGACCGCAGCGCATAATAGCAACCAATCAGCAAATCAATAGACTACTTTGTCCTCAAAGTAAGGGGCGTTTACTTCGGGACAAATTGCGACAAACCCAATGAGTTGATTGACAGGAACACATTCAAAGTGCTAACAGAGGTGACGAAACACTTCACTTTCACCCCTCTGTACAGTAAGTGCATTCCGAATCCCTCCCCTCTGGAAGCCGGACCGGCCCCTCCTGTCCGGTTACTAGCAGCGTCCGGAGGAGACCAGCAGCAGAAAACCGACCTGAGTGCGATATGAACGGTTCTCAGCTCACGGAGCTCCCGGACAACTCAGAGCAGCTGAGGCCGTATGTGGTGAGCCTGAGGCGGGCAGCCCTGCAGGCCGATGATCTGTCCGCTGTGGGAACGTTTTCCGACGGCTTCCTCATCAGATTCCTCCGCGCCAGAGACTTCGACCTGACGCTCTCTCTGAAGGTACAGAACCTGCGCTTTCCCAGCTGGAAAACACTGACCAGTTACAGGCTGGAAGCCCAGCCAGCAGGAAGGCCTGGGCTTTTACCACTAAAGATTCAACCGATTGCAGAGACTTTAAATTTACTGTGTCGAAAAGAAAAAAAGTTTTTTTTTTTTTTTTTTTGTCTGTTAAAAGTAATTAAGCTGAATAAGATTTAAAGTCCAGTCCATTTTTATGCATTTTGTGTATAACGTGCCAAAGGTTTGAAGTTTTGAAACCAAAACAGACACAATAGAGCTTAGACAATGGAACTACTAGTGTTAAAACAAAAACATTTTATTTTGGATATCTTGCAAAAGCAGTCTGCTCTGAGGATGTCTTCCAGATGGCATCCGTTGTCACAAAGCCTGTAAAATTATTTCCTGAGGTCCTCAACAGGCCTTCACAGATTCAATATAGAAGTACAAACTTTAACATCCATCATATCATGGACCACAGATGAACCCAGAGTAGAATTTAATTTGGAGGCTCACTATTAAGTAATGTTGAAACAGCAACACTGTTATTTACTTTATAATATTCATGTTTTACAAATTGTAAATATCCCATATATTGTTTTGTTCTGAAATGTGATTTTCCCTCTGGGATTAATCAAGTTTATCCATTCATTCATTCATTTAGAAGAGCTGAGGCTGCATTAATTTATAGTTAACTGTAATCCAGGGATAAATTGCCCACATTGACTGTTAGCTAAATGTGTTCACAAAGCCTCATCTGCATGAAAATTAGGAATTGTTTCAGAAAGAAAGAGCATAGAAATTCTAACAATATTAAAGGAATTATGCACATAATTATTAGCAAAGAATGTGTTAAGTATTTTAGACTAGTTTTAGTCCTCACAACACCAAAAAAATTTAAACTACAAAAATCTAACTAGATAATTGTCCAGATAAAAATCAGACACCATCTACTGAAATAAATAATACAATGAAAAGAGGCAATATGTAAATGTAAAGCGCGAAGAGCCATATTCTTCACAATTCAGGAAATACATCTACACAAAAATGTCTCTCGATGTCTGGATTTGGCATCATAGTTCCTACAGCCGAATGGTACCAGACCTGTATAAAGTAAATTCATGCATTGGTTCATTGCTCTTAATCATGTGGCAAATCTTGATTTTTTCCACCATTCTTTGGGAGATTTAGCATTGTGGACGATCATCTGTATCAGATTTGAGCAGAGGTAAGCAGAGTAATTAGCACTTGTACTCAAAAAGAGCTGCTTTACTTTAATATATTTTAGAATTTGTCAGTCTAAAAATGACCCAAGTAAGAATTAAAAAAAAATATTTGGTACAAAGATGTTCACATACATGTTAACTAATCATAACGTCTGAAATTGTCAAAATTATGTGAACAAAACAGAAAGTTATATGCAAACTTTGGTACTTTCAAATAAAAAAATGTTTCTAGAAATGAATATTAAAACAATAAATAATTCAGGCACAAGAAACACACATTTACAAATCTCACTTTTTGTCAACATAAAGTTCGCAGGAGGTACTTTGAGGCACTTCAGATGACAATATTGAGACATATTCACTTTACCTCAAAGCAGAGAACAATTGTAAACCAATGAAGCATGTCTGCTGCAAAAAAAACACACTTTTTCTGTCTCACCCATTAATTGCAGCGAAAGTTGCTGGTTCTTAAACAACACACCAGTACTAAAATCTCAAGTATTCAGTAATATTTGGTTTAATACTAACATTGCAAAAAAGCTGAGTTGTTACAAACAATCTGCATGATCATTTAAACACACATAAGGCAAAACAAACAGCATTGTTGACTACTGTTGATTGAGCAACATTTCCTAAAAGACGGAACATTAAGAAATCTCATTTTAGGTGAACTCTTTTCTCCACTTGCTCTAAAATCTTGAGAAGCTAATGGTTCTTATTGGAGCACTAATTTCTGAGTGACTTAGAAACCTGTCCTGCAATGTGAAGAAAGTGTAAAATACTTATGTCTGACAAACAAGACCAATTGAAAGCAGTGCGAGCCCAGCCAACTGGGTCAAAGCTCTGCAGTTGGGACACAAGCAAATAAGCTTTCCACAGAAACAGCTGCTAAACCTTTGCCTTTGGTTTATATATATATATAAATAGATATATCTATATATATATATATATCTATATATATA